CTGGTTTTCTTTTTAGTTCCATTTTGATAATTTCAATCTTAATAGATGTAAAGTGGTACTTCCTTGTGTTTATATTTTGCATTTCCCTAATGATGTGGAGTCTCTTTTCAAGTGCTTGTTGACCATTGAGATATATTCTTTAGAGAATTATGTATTCAAGTTCTTTGGCCATTTTAAAAGTGAGATGTTTAGTTTTGCTGTTCTTGAGTTTTAGGAGTTCTTTACATACTCTGGATATTAATACCAGTTCAGTGTATGCTTTGGAAATATTTTCACCCATTTTGTGGGCTTCCTTTTGACTCAGTTGCTAGTGTGCATTGATGAAAGAAGTTTTAAATTTTGATGAAGTTCAATTTATCTATTTTTAATCTGTGCTTTTAATGTTATTCTAAATATAATATCCAAATCCAATGTCAGAAAGTTTTCCCCTTATATCATTTTCTGAGAGTTATAGATCTTACATTTAGGTGTTTGATGCATTTGGTTAATTTTTGTCTGTAGTATAAGGTGCTAACTTTGTTTTTTTTGTTGTTGTTGTTGTTTCATTTTTTTTTTTGCATCTAGATATACAGCTTTCCCAGTACCATTTATTGAAAAAACTGTCCTTTCTGCATTGAATGATTGTGGCAACCTTGTCAAAATCATTTGATCATATATAGGAGATTATTTCAGGGTTCTTTATTCTACTCCCTTGATATATATTTTTGCCTTTATGGAAGTACCACACTGCCTTGATTGCTATATATTTATAGTTCATATTGAAGTTAGGAAGTGTGTGATTCATCCAACTTCATTCCTTTTTTTAAAAAAGGAGGTTTTCTTTGCCTATTTTTGTTTTGCTATCAGTGTACCTTGATATTCCTTATGCATTTTATTATTTATGTTATTCTGTATCTACAAAAAATTATTGAAGTCTGTTGTATATCATTCAGTCTCTCTTTTGATATCCAATATGGCTTATCAATTTGGAGAAGAGGACTTATGGGCGTATACTACAGCAGCTAAACAGAAACTTTCTAAGTCTCAGGGAGGCCTACACCCATGAAATATAAATTAAAACCATAATGAAGTCCTGTATATACTGCAAAAGTGACTACAATAAAAATAAGGAAATTATCAAGAATAACAAAGATATGGAGCAATCATAATTCACATAAGCTGCTGGTGGAAGCATAAACTTTTATAAGCAACTTGGCCAGTAAATGGTAAAGCAAAATATGCACAGCTAAGATCTAGCACTTCTACTTGTAGGCATATACAAATCTATGCATATTATTTTCAAAAAATCTAACTACAATATTGAAAGCTACACTATTTGTAATAGATAAAACCTGAAAAATACCCTAATATCCACAGATGTACACTATCAATAGATTGTTGTATAGCCATATCATTCTGTACTCTAGAGCAACAGGAATGATTCACAACTATATTCAACAATATGGATGAACCTTAGAACCATGAAAGAAGCCAGACAGAAAGAATAGATACTATGTGATTTCATTTATACAACACTTTTGAGAGGTGGAACTTTTAGGAGGTGATTAGGTCATTAATGGATTAATATCCTTATCCAGAAGGTGATATGTTATAAAAGCAAGTTTGCTATACTCAGCTCTTTCTTGCAGGTGTACTTTCTTGCCTTTTGGTTTTGCCATGAGGTGACATAGCAAGAAGATCCTCAATAGATAACATTGCCTGAATCTTGGACTTCCCAGCCTCCAGATCTATGAGCCAAATAAGTTTCTATTCATTATATATTACCCAGTCTGTTGCCAGGCATGATGGCAAATACCTGTAGTCCTAGCAACTTGGGAGGCTGAGGCAGGACTATTGCAAGTTCAAGGCCAGCCCAGTAAATAAGGGAGATCCTGTCTCAAGGTAAAAAGAAGAACTAGGGCAACTTCATTATTCTTTCATAATAGCACAAAATAGACTAAGACAATAGTGGTTATATTTAGGGTAGGAAGGGACTGGACAGAACATGAGGATAGGTTTGGAGGTTGTTGATAATGTTTTCTTTTTATTAGATTTGTGAAAAAACATCCATCTATGTACTATATAATATACTTTCTTTGTATTTTCTCTGTGTTGTATTTCAATAAATAGCAATTAATAATTAAATAATTTAGGTAAATTTGGAGTGGCCTAAATTGAAATCCCAGCTGTACCTAATATCCTCACCTGCATAATAATATAATGATGTGGGCGGTGATGCTGATGATGACAATGATAATAAGAAATAGAAGAAGAAATATTTTCATGACACTTTGGGGCCCAAAACAATTCTAATCATGTCATTTCAATTTCATACTTACGATAACTCTGTTGAGTAGATATTAGGTAATATTATTGTCTTCACGTAATAGATGAGAAAAGCTAGGCACAGAAGTGTTAAGTAACTAGCCCAAGGGCATCCACATGCAGAATTCATAACTTAGACAGCATTTCTCAAGAGTTCGTACTCTTACCCAATATGTCCTTCTGTAAATAGGGCTAAAAAAACCAAGTGGTATTTAAAAGAGTTCAGAAAACTGTAATGCAATAGACATATGTCAGGTCTCCTTAATTATCATGAACAAGAACACATTGCCTCTAACTCTCCTTTCTGTGCCCACTTTTCATAGTCATACTCTGTCCCACAAGTAGCCAGTTCAGCATTGATTTGATCACAAGCCTAGATTCCTTTATCTTTCTGGTTATAAATTGTTATTAAGTGCTCTTTCAAGCTTTGGAGAAGCTTATGAAGAGGTTACATGTTTCCATCTTATGCCAGTTTCTTTCCATAATTATATGTAGAAAGGGGACTTTTAATGAAATGGTATTTTTTTAAATCCTATTTTCAGTGCTTAGCAGAGGGCTTAGAGGCATTTGGTGCTCATTAGATACTTGTCTAGTTAAACGTTCAAATGGAAGATATTTACCTCCTTGAAGACCCATAGTTATTTTATCATTCATAGTTAGGGTAAGTATCAATATGTGGTTTCTTGATTAAAAGTCTTTTATATTGCTGTCAAAGCAATACAAAACAAAGATGATTACTGAAAAGCAGTTAGATAAGTTCTTTGAAGCAGTTTGTTTATTTGTTTTAAGCACTTCCAAATTATACCATTCTGATAACAATTTATTTGGTCCTTAAACATGGCACCAACTCAGCTACTCACCAAAACTTTTCAGTTCACTCTGTTGGACTATCTCTTTCTGGGGACTCATCTCAATTTTTATCATGGAAACCAACAAAAAAAATAAGTTGGTGTTACATATATTAGTTTTACAACCACATTTTTGGAAACACATATGTTCTATAAGGAGGAAAAGCATTTCTTATAATGGTCGCTTGCTCTGTGCAATGTGAATGACATTCTTTCTCTTGTGTTTAATGAACTTTCCCTTTGTCTACTTTCCAGTTGGATATAGACATGAGCAATTTAGAATCATGGCTCTGATTCTGGTCTCATTCCTATATTGTGATATCCTTGGCTGCATCATGTTACAGTGAAATCCATTGGACTTCTTGCCAACAAGGATAACCACAGAGCCATTGCAATCTTCACTATTGCTGAATTTCCTCTGTGTAAGTTTTGGTAGCCTGGCTGGGAGCCAACTTTAGTGTATTTTCCTGGCTACCATCACGTTTTCCATCTGCCAGTATTTAACACTGCTCAGGTATGAAATCATAAGCTAAATAGCTTGCTCCAATTTATGACTATATTATAGGGGCAAAAGATGAAATTATCCACATTTTAATTAAATCAAAGAAGAAAATAAATGGAGGAGATAGAAGGATCTCACTGTGTGCATGCAAGTGAGGTTGCTATTAAAAATTATTTCACTTTCTCATCTCAAATTTTAGTAACACTTCAATAGTAACTTGAGGTCCTAAGGCAAATGTCTTTTTCTGGCCTTGGAGTAAAGCCATGTGAGAAATTAGAATGATGGTACAGTTAAGGTGCTCAGTTACCATAGTTTTAACACATGAATACTCAATTGAAGCGATTTGGGTCCTGATTATGATCTCTATATATCAGTTGGCTTGTCTTATGTGCTGAGACATACATGTGTGGTTTGATTTTGGTTTTTGCTTAAAATTGTATTTCTTCCCAGGGAACAAATGAGAATTCATGGATGTTACAATTAGGTGGTAGTGGCAGCTATTGTTTTTAAAAACTTAAAATTAACACGATCTAGGGCAGGCCTTTTCAAACTGTAGGTTGGGGATCAACTGTAGGTTATCAAATCATTTTACCAGTCACAAGTATTATATTTAAAAATTAAAATAGAAAAAAGTAGAAAACAGAATTATGCATCATATGTAGTTAGGGTAAGTTTCAATTTGTGAAACTTTTATGTATACATGCCTGTGTGTACAAGGTCATGATGTCCAACATACTTCTTCTGTATGTTTAGGTTAAAAAAAGTTTGAAGTCTTCTAATTTAGGGATAGATTAAGAACCATTGTCCAACTTTTATAATCTTGTCATAATAAATGATGAGGCAATTTCTCCTGATTGGAGAGGGCTCAAAACCTGCTAGTATTAATGTGTTAAAATGAATTATAAATTTTCTTTTAGAGGTGCTGAAAATATCAAGATGACCTAATGTTAAGATTGCTCTAAATCAATGATCTTTACATTAATTCATACATAAGAGTAATAGATCTGAGTATATGGATAAGGTTTAAATCATCTTTCTAGGAAAACTCCATTTGGCAAATAAATAAATGATAAGATTCTAGTTAAATGGGAATCTCTGAGAGGACTTCAGAAGACCTGATATTTTCAACTGTGGAAGCCTGCTTGAAGCAGAAAGAGCCTTCTCTCCTCCCAACACACACACACACACACACACACACACACACACACACAGTGGTTGTAGTTATATTGAAATTCCCTTTGCAACTCCATAGTTCCAGTGTTTTAGGCCCTGTTTAGGATCCTGTGATATTCCTTTGAGGCCTCTTTAACACAATTCTGGTATAGTTACTCATATCATAATTCAAGCTATTTTGGTCTTCAGTTATTTTCGTTTCAATGAGAAAATTGAGTAGGCTATTTGATGATTCATTCGTTTGCAACATCCATGGCCTGAAACCAATCAGGTTTGTCTCATCTGCAAAGCGTGTGCTAGTGTCCATCTATCTATGAGCTGTCTTTTCTCACCCTCCATTTGAGTATATATACTCCCTGGCTTCCAGATACAGACAACTTCTAAACCAACCACTGGTTTTGCCTGAATTTTAAAAAATGCTTTGATTTTATCTACGTGATCTCAGATTAGAATCGTGAGTAAAATTTTCTTTTTTTTTCCAGCTAGGCTTGCTATTTTATAGAAATAGTCTGAGATGTTTGATTGTGGTTATACATACTATGTGGCAACTCATTTGTCTGACTTTGACAGAGTGGCATTTTGAACAGCCAAACCATAGTGTTTGCTAGCCTTGTTTATCTAAGGATCAGAGAGAATATGGTTATGTCAATATGCACAAAATAAATGGATAATGGAAATAGCCATTCGTTTTATATTGCCCCAGTGATCAAAGATGATCACCACTTGATTTATATAGCTGTGGTGATCATACTTAATCATAAAAATGACAAATTGATGGATCAACAGTGCTATAAGTTTGTTGCTACCTAAAGTTTGTCATAATCATTCAAAGAATATTCCATTGTTTGTTTTGTTATATTGTTATTTGGGGTCAATTTTACTGTTAAAATGGGCACATATTTGATAAACAACTAGCCCTTTAGTGTGGCAAATATGATGTAAATGTCTCTGATTGCATTTGTAATGACAATCAATTTCTGTCTCTAATTACGTTAATTATAGCATTACATACCTTTTCAATTTGCACAGGATTGTACTCAATTAGGTTCATGTTTTATTTCAATAAAGCACTTTTGCCACTGTCATAAATCTTTGGAACACTATGCCGTGGAGATAGTGGCAACTGAAGATTGATCTGCAGTGTTGGAATTCAGTGGGAAATCATGTCTTGTTATTGATTACTAAAGGAGTCATTAATTTATGGAAGCTGGTTGGAGATTTTGGCAAGTTTTGAACTTATTTCAAAATCATTCTCAATCCTAGCCACAGCTTTTCTCACAGGCAGGCAGGCAGAGGAGGGGACCAAGCAGGGAGAGAGAAGGAAAATGAATATAAATTAGAATTTTAAAATTGCAAAAATGAATCTATGTTGCATTGTGCTAAACAGAGTGAAGAGTGTGTGTGTGTGTGTGTGTGTGTGTGTGTGTGTGTGTGTGTGTGTGCTTATATCAAAGTCAGTAGGAACCTGACTATTACCAGGCCACAATCAGGTTGAGTAATTGGTTTCTGACAGAAATCTTTATTCTCTCAGAAATTTAACTGACAGAAAACACCTAGCTATTCAGTGTAAAAGCAGATGGCTCACCATAAGAATTCAAGTAGCAGGTGAAAAACAGCTCACAGTAAGCTCTCTTTCCCTGCTTTTATAATAGAAATACTCTAAAGGTATACTCTGGTTTTTAGGCACTAATTAAAATGGTATAAAAAGGAATCTAGAACTAGTTTGTAGAAGGAAGAAAGGCTTCATGTCTAGGAATCTCATAATTTTTTATTTAGTTCCTGATATAATAAACCAATGTGACCATGTATAACATGTAATTGAGTTTTTATTTATCTCTGGGTTTTAAGTCTATATTTTGTTTACCTTATCTTCATTTAGGGCTTTGAAGTACCTGTGACTAATTATGTAAGTTGACAGATTGAAAATAGAGAACCCATTTTTTTTCATTATCTTTTTTTCCTTCTCCTTTTTTTTAAAATTCAGAGAATGTTTGGAATAGTATACGTTATGTAATGAGAGGGAGCTTCTGAGGTTTTACCTGCGGGTGGAAGATTTGAACACTAGCAATGTAACACATCTTTTAAAGAGAGAAACCTAGTATTATTGTTGCTAGATTTTTATTTCTATGGTAACCATGATGTCACTGGTGCCTGCAATGCTTAAACCTCCCATCTCTAATAACTTGAGCTGATCTGGTAGGACCGAAAAATAAAATGAAAAAATTCTAATTAATAGAATCTGATCGCTAGATGCAACAATACAGATAATGTTTGGAAATATAAAAGGCTGAATATCTTGGTTGGGACTGAAAGAAAACTGTAGCATAGAGTCTATTTTATTAAAAGGAAAAGCATGGTTTTATAAAAAAGGTAATGAATATGATGAGTGTAAAGGAGATTTAAAAATACAATAGAGAAGGAGCTATCTAATATACAATAGCCTTTATGATTGGTAGCTACAGAATGGGCGGGGGATTGTGCTTTGGGAATTAACATTTAATTTCTGTTAAATGCAGAGAATAAGTGACATGTATATAGTCTACCAAAAGACAGATAAAAATCATGTTAATTATTTTGTTATATAGAATTATTGAATATCTACTCCTTTTTCTCACTAAACTACCTTCATTTTCTCTCTAGAGCTACAGGAAGCTTTCTCTTTGCTATTATTATGAACTATCTTTGGCAAAAAAAAAATATGTAGCCACTTGCTAATCTATCTTCTCTGGGAGGAGTGAACTTCTTACCCACATAGGCACAAGCTGGCAAACAAAAGCTGTACTGTGCCCATGTTCAAGGGGAGAAGAAAAATATTGGAGGCACTAATAACAACCAGAAAATTCCCAGAGCATTTACAAAGGGGATCCTCAGATGACTAGGAGTGGGACTCTTCCTCTATTTTCTTCAAAGTGACCTTTATTATTCTTCAGCAAAGAATCTTTTTACAGTCAAGACAAGGGGTTGGAGGAATAAATAGAAGTCTCCTGTGCCTGTCCTGTTTTACCCTGAGAGACAAAAAGCCTGGTTCTCTTTTCTATTCAGACAGGGAGATTGTCCTTCCTGCTTGACATCACCTAGATGACCCCATAATAGCAGAGGGTTGGAAGGTTATCCTAGGTAGGTCAAAGTTTTAAGACTGTTTCCTAGGTTAATTTTGTGAAGCCCCTTTGTGGTGCTAGTTTTATTAGTTTCCAAATTAATGAAACTCATTGTTTGAGGTCTAATGTTTTAAATATTTCACAGGGGACAATTCTTACCCATTAGATAGATATGACTTCCTAGCTTGATCATATGCCTGCCAGCACTATTACTTTTCTATTGTTATCTGACTACAGCTATCAACTATATAGACATTAGAGTGATAAAAATTCATCTGGTTGACATATAAGCTAAAATCCAGCTGACTATGAGCTCTGTAAATCTCTGCCTTATAAACACTTGTATCCTTGATAACATATTGCGAGAAGAGACAAAATGAGAATAACTTTTTGTATTGCACTGACAGCACAAAGTCATTCAGCTTTAAATGGGCAAAATGCAACATTTCCCTAAAGAAAATATGGATTTATATTTCCAGGATTGATATCGTATGACTTAAATTACCTCACACTTAACATTTACATATTTATGTATCCTAACAGTGGAAACAAACTATTTTATGCATAAAGAAATTGCTAATTGTACAATGAAAAATACCTTATATTAATAATATTGAATGTAGCTCACATCCATTTATCATTATAAAATTGTATTTTGCAAACACCAGGTGCCTGAGATTATATGCTTGGCAAAGTACAGAGAAAATGACATGGACGTAATCCGTGCTCACACTGAGAAAAGATCTAAAGAATTTCTAGCATTATTTGCATAAAATATCATCTAGAAAGGAAAATTAAAGCTTCTCTTTCATTGCATCCTCTAATGATATTAACATGTGGCAAAGTACTTTATGTGATGCAGTATAGAGTAGAGGTTAAGAGGATGCCCTTTAGAGATGACTGCCTGTTCCAGCACCACCTCTGCCAAGTATCAAGGGCACTTTGACCTTGGTGACACATTCTGAACCTCTGTGCCCCCATTCCCACATCTTAAAATGGGGTCAGTGGCAGTGCATATACCAGAGTTTTGTTTTGGGGATTAAATACCCACATGTAAAATCCTTGAAGGATGTGCCTGGTCTACAATTTAGAGCTCAATAAATATCAGCTCATTTATTAACTCTTACCATTTCATTGGGTTAAAATTATCCAAAGTCAAAAACCTGGAAGGAGGGGGAAGTAAAGAAAGGAAGTAATAGTTCATGTATGAAAAAATATTACACGTAGTGGTACATGTCTGTAATCCCATATACTTGGGAGGCTGAGGCAGGAGGATTGTGAGTTCAAGGCCAGCCTTGGCAACTTATCAAGACCCTGTCTCAAAAATAAAACGGGCTGGAGATGTAACTCAGTGGTAAGCACTCCTGGGTTTAATCCCAGTACTATAAAATAAAATTATACTGTTATTTTACCCTTAGAATGTTAACAAGATTTTAGAGAAAAATTTATTAATTTTTATTTTTTTATGTGGTGCTGAGGAAAAAATCAGAAACGTCTGGTTTTTGTCCTCTGTCTTTTCAACTGCTCAGAGCTTCCCAAATTATTATTTTGTTTAGCACCTCCAATTTTAAATATGAGTTGGTTCCTACACGTAGCCATGTGCTTCCTATTGCTGAGGGATGAAAATAATGAAAGCTCTTTTTCTAGCACTTTATCCTTTGACCTTTAATCTGTTCCAAGCAGCTCTTTCCATGCCTGACAGATACCTCAACCATGTAACAGTGCTATTATTGCTAGTTCTTGAGAGTGATTCTTCAAGGGCAATATTTGCTATAGATATTTGTGTTGTATCATTGCCATTTTTATGACTTTCATATAGTGTCACATGCTTCTAGCTACCTCTCCTATTATTAGCTATTTGATGGAAAAGAACTTTTTCTGTATCCCAAATCTACTGCATTGTCAATCATTGTTTTGAAAGTAAACTTACAGAAATCCTATACAAATGACCACCAAAGATGACATTTACTGGCCCTGGGGAAGAAAATGATTAATACAGGAGAATCCAAGATAAAGAGAGATAAAGATTAACACTTAGAATCCAAAATTGACTCCATCACTTATTAAATGATTTTGTGTAAATTAGCTAACCTCTGAACTTTTTATTCTATAAAATGAGTTGGTGATCATTCTTATCTTTAGAGTTGTTATAGGCATCTAGTGAGATGATTCTTAACAAACTGATTTGTGGGGCTGGGGTTGTAGCTCAGTGGTAGAGCACTCGCCTAGCACATGTGAGGCCCTGGGTTCGATCCTCAGCACCACATAAAAAAAATATAAATAAATAAATAAAAAGAAACTGATTTGTAAGCTAGATATTTTTGGACAATTATTTACTGTGGTGGTGATAGTGATT